TCGACGCCGCGCGGCTTCGCCGGGAACGGGAAGTTCAGCGGCGGCGGCTTCGGAGACGGATTCGGCGACGACTCGTCCGGCGGCCGGAAGACCTCCAGCGAGTCGCGCGGCGGATCTTCCTCGACGACGCCGTTTGCGAGATTCGGTTTCGTGATTGGATTGTTAGGGTTTAGCACGGGGAAAGTGAATCCGTCGGTGAACGGCGCTCTCCCGGAGCTCACGACTCTGTGAGTGTTAGCGTTGTGAAATCGTTGCGATTTCGCAGCGACAATTGTTGCTGTTGCTGTCGCCGGAGCTGGTGTTTGATTCACAATCCAGTTATTCGGTGTGATGTGATTACGAACGTTTACATGTTCGTGATCTAGCGGTGGTGTGTTGGATTTGGATCCTTGCGTTGATTCTTTGACTTGAACTGATTTTCTCCCCGTGCATGGACATTTTCTCCTCCAAATCGGTTTCGGATTGGAGAGTTTAGGGTTTTTAGGGTTTTGAGGGTTTCTGATTGAGACAGGGATTGCTCCTGGAGGGTGAGATAGCAACCCTGTTTGGCTGTTCCAGCTGGCTTCTGAGGAAGCCGTTGGAGTTGCTGCATGGAACGAACGCGCTCTGTAGTTTCTGATGTGGGCGAAGCCATCCACTGAGGATGAAGCAGAGGAGTATCTGGTGGCTTCTGTCATGATGACGTCACCCCTCTCTGGAATTCTTTCCATGGGAGAGACTCTGCTGATGCTAACTTTTTGCACGTTGTTGTTGTTGTCATCATTGAAGTATTTGTGAGCATCGAATATGCTAAGCTCAGTGGTGGAGTCTTCACCAGTGATTGTTACCTTGTCATCGGGTCTGAGATAGGATGAGAAAGATGCATCTCTATCTCTCCCCGTCTTCATCGCTATTGCTCTTTCCATGCTATTGATGTAAAGGAAAATGTATTTGCAACTGAAAAAACTGGGCTGTTGCATTTGGAATTCCTTGGGCTGATATATATATGTGTTCAGTCTCTGTTCTGCTTATCCTGACATTGATTAATTATGAGGCTGTAAAAACTAGAAACATCGTATGCCCTTCTCATGCTTTTTTATTTTTCTTGCCTCTGTAATGAAATAAATTCCCCCAACTTGTGATCTGACTCCCTCACTTTCTCGGTGTATTATGAGTAAACAACAAAAGTCTGAGTTTTTAAAGCGGAATGTCCTAACTAGATTATGATATCTGTGTAGATAGAGTTATGGAATGGCCAATTATGTGTGTTACTTCATCATTTGGATGCATCATGGCCATCTGTTAGTAGCCATCTTTGTCTACACAGTTAATCATTGAGAAAAAATTTATGCCTTTTGATTTGTTGGTTAAAGATAATAGTAGCTTGGATTGGCACAGGGCACAGTAATTTCTTTTTTTTTTAAAAGGGTACAACTAGAAAGTAATTATAACAAGAATTATATTATATTATTCATAGTTTCATGCAACATATTTTTTTATTAATTTTCTCCATTACATCATGCATCTTATCAGTTATCACATACAACACTTTTGTATGAAATGTTGTAAAAAGTTGAAGTATAATTAACACTTCTCCAATGTTGATAGGTGGATGATTCTCCACGCCTCTTAAGAATTCTATCAGGAACAGTTTATTCGATTCAGATCATGCTGGTTTTGAAATAGAGATCTTGACAGTGCTTCTTGAATCCCTAGTTGTTATATGTGCAAGTGTGCAACAAATTGGATGCCACGCCTCAAGTTCAATTGGTAGGTAGAGCTATTATCAAAATATAATTAATTTTACTTTAGGACTTTACGTTGATGCATGATACAGACATTTTAAGCTCTCGAATTAATTATCGACCTCTTTTATTGCTATAAGTCATATTGGAATGACTAAGTTAGGTCCGAGCCGGATGCCTCTTAAGAACCTCTTGAGAGCATCACAAGACTCTATAGTCCAAGACAATTGAGTTTACTATTTCAGAGACATAAAAATTTTCCTGAATCACTTCTTTCCTTGATGGATTGTTTCCCAATTCAAGATATGTGACTATTTCCCCCGTTGTTTTCCTTATTTTCTAAGTAAGTTTCCTCTTGATGTGGCCGCCTGATAAGTTTGGTGGTGCTGATTCAATAAAGTAGGCAAGGAAGCCCGTCCTATCTGACATCAAACATCAGCCAGGTAGCAATGTGAATGAGTGAGGGTCCATTGCATTTGACATTTAGGGACGAAGGTATGTCTGAACTCTTGGGAGACCATAAAGAACTGTCTTTATGGGTTTACCCAATCAATTATCAGAGGTGGATTCATTTTGGAAGCAGTGCATGGTGGGTCACCATTAACCTTCTAGGTAACATGGACTGCTTTATTGCCTGCCTTTACACAATTTATGCATGGCTCTTGAGCAGGTGGTGGTCCTCATTTTGCCTTAGGAACAAGATTTTGGTTACATTCTTTCCATCGGACAATATAATATACATATTTTTTACTACACAATTGCTTAATAGATAATATAATATATTATTTTTACTCGACAATTCTTTAATTCGTTATCAACATCTTTTACTTTACATATTTTTTAGTTTGGTTGATATTGCTGAATAATACAAATTGATGTTAACGTTCCTTCAGGAAAAGGAATGCTGCCTTTTACACTTGATGCAGAGCACTACTAATTTCTTGTTATTTTATTGTTTTTTCCCCCCATCTTTTTGGGTTTCTTCATTCTTCTTTCTTCTTGGTAGATGCCCAGCCCAGGTGGCGGAATAAGATTATTTCTCAGGACCATCTTAGTATGTATTATGTGTGTGTTAAAAATAACGTAGAAGCTCGAGTAGACTCCTTGTTTCAAAACCTGCTTTGTTGCAATATCTTTGCGGATTTCTCTTTTGTTCCATCCCTAACTGCCTTTTTCTTATGATGAAAGATTATTTGATACAGAAACAGAGAATTGGGAGGGGGAGATAAATTAAATATAATAGGAAACATTATAAAAAAGAAGGAAGGGAGAGAAAAAATATAAAACAATATGATATGAGGGTATCAAGAGGATGTAAACAATCAGAGTGGACAAAAATCACGGGAATCTAATATAATTGGTTCACAATATGATATGGGATTTAGGGTTTAGCTCAATACACCTATTCTTTAATAGTATAAAATAAAAATCTCGTGTGTTAGTTAAAAATTCAACCTAGATTTTATTTATTTATTTTTATCTTTACATGTATCTATAACATGAGATAATTCTACTTGAGACATACTACCTAAATTCAACTTAAATTATTGAGTATAAAACAAAATCTTCTCTTGATAAGATTATAATCATTATTTGTTGTTTTGCAAGAATTAACCATTTTTATTGAGTTCAATTTGTCAATTTTTTATTTATAAATTATTTGCGATAATAGTATTACACTTTTTTTTTTTATTCACAAGAATCAAACTCGGTTTATAAAGTAATTGGGGAGGTTAAGGTGGGAGAGAATATCATATATCCCACTGTAAGAAATTAATTTTAACCTTTAGATATTCATTTTTAAATAAATGGTTCAAAATTTTATTTTATTTATTTATTATTTTTCCTAGTTTTACCCTTGTGTCTCCCATCTCTCACCCCGAATTTGTAACTTCCATCGTTGTCTTCCACCACAACTTCTCCCATCCAATCCCTTTTTCTCAGCCAAGCAGGAGAAGCCTCAACACTTGAAGAAAGATAAAATCAATTGTTATATGATAACAATTTCAATATGGCATAGAATAATTTACCCTTCTTAATCCAAACTAGATACATATCAACAAACTCAACACATTTCAACACATTTTTCTTGCATGTTCTAAAAAAAATCATTGTCGTTGTTGGTGACTTCGTCATCATCATACCACCACCAAATATGCAAAAAGAAGGGATCATCAATAAGAAAAAAAGAGTCATGTTATTTTGAATCTTCAACCTTCACTCCAACACATTTGATAATAATTTCAAATGTGTTATATGATAATAATTTCAACATGGCATAGAACAATTTACCCATCTTAATCCAAAATAGATACATACCAAGTTAACACATTTTCCTTGCATGTTCTAAAAAAAAGCATTGTCGTTGTTGATGACTTTGTTACCGTCACACCACTATCAAATATGCAAAAAAGAAGGGATCAATCAATGAGAAAAAAGAGCCATGTTGCTTTGAATTTTCAACCTTCACTCCAATGGTTGCACTCATAAAATTTATGTTCTTCAGTGCCATTTAACCCAAATCAAATGTGTGGTCCACTCAATATTAGAAAGGAGTTTGATAAAATAGTAGGTGGTTTTGAAGTAGAGGCAGAGTAATGTTGGAATACAATCAAAATCTCATATCATTAGAATAAGAAAATAAACAAGGTTTATAAAGCACATACATACTCCATTGGAATGAGACTTTTTGGGTGATGACCCAAAACAAATCTATAAGGGTTTAAGCCCCTAAAGTTAGACAATATCATACTAATGTAAAGATGCATGTGAGTATCCGATGAACAACACAAACAACAACAACAAAAATACAATATAAAATAGATTTCATTGAACGAGAGGTTATGTTATATGTTTGAAGGGAGGATTGTTGGGATACAAACAATGACGTCATTAGAAAAAGAAGAAAAAAGAAAGTTTATAAAACACATATTTCATTAGAACGAAACCTTTTGAGTGATGACCAAAAGTAAATCTATAAGGGTTTAAACTCAAAGTGAACAATATTATCCTGATGTGCAAATATGTGGGAACATTATTGCATAATAAAATATCAAGCTTCTTTGATAAAAATATATCCCACCAAAAACAAGCTAATTAAGTAATGTTACATTAATGGAAAAAAAGAGATGGAACATTGACAATGAAGGTGGAACTAATGAGGCAGAGGAGTAATGGAGGAGGAAAAGTGAAAAAGTACATGAGGAGGGAGAAGAAAAAAATATAAGAAAGAAAGAATGGTGAATTAGGAAACAAGAGTAAAAATAAAATAAAATAAATTTATAATATTAGAAAAAACTTGATCCATTCATGTATTAATTGGTTCCTCCGCACATGGGAGACTTTCTTAACTTAGCCATGACAATTTTTGTCATAAGTAACTTACACATTGTTCAATCAATTTAGGTATAGCTCTTATAGCATCTCTAATAGTTTTCAAATAAACAATTCACTTTATTTCTTTAAGTGTGTCATACATGTCGCATCACTTTTAACCAATTCACTAAATTTTCACTCTTATGAAAATTTTTATGAACAAATTATTAAACTCACAAATAATCTTTCTCTCTTTCTTGGGTGGGGTGGTCGGAGTTTATAGGTAGGAGGTTTGGGCAATGTGTGTTCATTTTTGTTTCGAAGATTTAGTTTGCTTAAAACAAATTTATTTTTGAGGATTAGACATTTGATGCTTTGTTTGTCTCTCAGCAGGCACTGTTTATTTGAGACAAACTGTATGCTTTGTCTGATTTATTGTTTATAACTTATCTGTCATTATAATATATTTACATTAAGATAAATGTATAGGATAAACCTTTAGATGAGTATCCTAGGCTACTTTACTTCTTGATTTGGATGAAACATTTGTTTTTAGTAGATAGAAGATCAAGATTAAGTATCAATGATCATGATGATTTAAGTGTCACACAAATGTGTTATGACAAGGAAATTGCGAGAATGTTCCATTTTGAAGAATATGTCTTTGGCAAATGAGGTTAGACATGTTTTACTACATATTGTTGTTAAATATATGTTATCATTAAACTATGAGTAATTACATTTTCTATTGCTTTAGGGTGTTGCTAAATTGTGTGTTGAATCGTCTTCCAAGAAAGATACACTTTTGGTGCTACCACAATGTGTAACTTTAACTACACTGGTTTCTACGATTAAAAAGCAAGATGGTTTATCAATGTGTCCCGAATTTCGATCATTGCAATCAAATTCAAGGAGTCATCCTCATCCAAAGTTTGATGATGACATCAATTTTTTTATAATGAAATCTAGATGATTCTGATTGTTCCATAGTTGATCATGGACTAATTTGGTAGTCTTATCTATCTATTTAGGGATACAATATGTGAAACTTATCAATTTTG